AGAGACATGTAGAGAGACAGAGGGACATGTAGAGAGACAGAGAAACATGTAGAGAGACAGAGAGAGATAGAGAGACATGTAGAGAGACAGAGAGAGATAGAGAGACATGTAGAGAGACAGAGACACATGTAGAGAGACATGTAGAGACAGAGACACATGTAGAGAGACATGTAGAGACAGAGAGAGACAGAGAAACATGTAGAGACACATGTAGAGAGACAGAGAAACAGGTAGAGAGACAGACATTAAGTGAACAAGTTACTGTGTGAATCTCTAACATTAAACATTTATTGACGTTAAATCGACATTTAACCGTGAACCGATAGAAACTCAACGTTGTAACTATGACATCACGACGGTTGAATCGCGGTAACGTCGCGTTTCTCTGAATCTTTTCGTTAAAACAAACTCACCGGACGTTTTCTTCTCCAGCACCATGTTGTTCTTCCGCTCTACGGCATCCGCACGGGGACACACTGAGTCAGACCAAACGCGATTTGTTTTCAATCGCTATCCGATGGTTGATTCAGAGAAACTTCCCCGAAAAAAAGAATCGTTAGGAAAATTAATGTTCGGTTTAATTCGGGATTAAGTTTAAAACGGTGGAGCATCTGTGTAACTTTAGTTTAAACAAAAAAAACCATTGAACCATCACAACACATTTCAAACTGTTAATTTGACCTGATGAATAATAAATGAATACGTGAATAAATAAATATTCTTACGTAAGTAAGTTTGGAGCTGTAATTAAAACCAGGACCCGTTGTTACGTATAAAGGCAAAACAATTACAGTTAAAAGTTACTTGGTTAAACATTGTGAAATCAGGATTTAAAAAATCTGCAACATTTACTCAACTGTAACTTCCACTTTAATCAGTAAGTCACTTCCTGCAGTGAAGCTTTTAGTTTGTAAAGAAATGTATTTCATAAAATAATCGCAGGTAAGTTCCGAGGTCAGGTGACTATTTGAAAATCAAACAATCACAAGCAGGACAGGACATTTGAGATGGAGAGAGAAGAAGATGAATGAAAACTCAACTTCACATCTGGAACAAACGCAACCGGCTGTAACACTAACATTATTTATTAAAATCTCAAAACATTAACAAACGTCATTAACAAATAATTTAATGCAGTTTGTACAAAGCTGATTCCTTGTATCGACAGGCACGCTGAGAAAACTACAGGAGGCGTCAGGCTGAAACCTCGTCCCTTAAACACTCGACATGATTTAAATAGTTATAAACTGAGAGGAGACGATGGAGTCACAGTTGCACCTCAGCTACAGCATCAAACTGAAAATATGAAGACATGAAAGATTTTTCAAAACGATGAATAAAACATGAAAATATAAAAAGGCCTCTAACGTTTTCCCAGTAATATCTTGAAGCAGAGTTTTACCTCCGTTTACACGTTTAACAACAAAATAATGTTATATGTTTTCTTTCTCCTTATTTTCATTTACGTTCGTCTTTTCTCGAGTCGTTTTCTTTGCTCATTTTTCTCCTGTTTCAAACCTTCAAAGATCGAAGAGCAATCTACACGATCTGATTGGCCGAGAAAAGCAGACGTTCGCTGTTATGATCCCCATCATCAAAACTGGTAATATCCACAGAACACGTTCAGTGGTGGATGATTAGGATTTTAAAATCAAGCTGATCAAAGTTGATCCTGTAGAGGGCACTGTGGATCAAGGTTAGGAGAGCGGCCCCTACAGGATAAAGAGTGTAACAGCAGAGAGTCGATGGACACAGAGGAGGAGTGTTATTTTTGCATAGATTGAGGTTGTGGTTAAAATAAGGCAGCGCAGTGGAGTTTTACAACAGACTCTTTTTTTGAAATGTCAGACTTTGTTTCTTTATCGGAACCTATGAATGACAATAAAATAAAGTGACTCTTACTCTGAAATGTCAGACTTGTAACACCTGGTATGAGGAAGCACTGAAATAAATCGTGTGATTGGCAGGTGAAGGTTGATCATTCAATCAGAAACAAAACAAAAACGCTCCATAATGTCTATGCCTCCGTCCAGTCTGTCTTTACTCCTGACGATGAGGCACACGCACAAGAAACATTCAGGGGTCAACGAAGGACACCATGATGTATCTGGTCCCCCTAGTGGTCGGCAGACCCTCATGGTAGTGGGTCAGACGCCCGGGGTGCATGAAGGTCCAGCCCTTCCTGGGAGACTCCACCTTACAGTCATAACGCAGGAACCTGCAGCCTCCACCCTGTGACACACACACACACACACACACACACACACACACACACACACACACACACACACACACACACACACACTGATGAGTCTTTACGAAAGACGTGATTCTTCCTAAACCTTCAACTTTTTTTGCATGTACCTCGTAGTCGATGTTCTTCCTGTTCAGGGCAACATTGATGGTGAAGGTGGACGAGTCGTGATGCGGTCGCAGAGACGGCTGCTCGTCAGGGCGGTAACGGACCACAAAGTTCATTATGGCCTGGGCCTACACAGACACAAAATCCCAATGATCTGTAAAACCATTCATGACTGATGCTGCACACGTCTAACTTTACTCTGGAGTAGTATCACGACTGTACTTTGAAGTAACTTTACTCTATAGTATCCTGACAGTACCTTGGGGTAATATCCAGGATATAGTTTTTCCGTGACAGGAGAGATGTATTCCTTGAGGAATTTGAGCCACTCCTTCTCAAAGCCGATCTGGTTCATGTGAATATCCACAGTTGGGACGTTTTCGTAGCCGCCGGCCAGACGCTCGTCCTGAACACAAAGAAAACACAAAAAGTTTCAAAGCTGAAGTTCTCAGGTTTGTTCACAGACGGTCGGTCAGACAGGTGAGCATGTTACCTTGTGTGATCCTCCAGACCACTGGTTGTTATCCTCCATGGTCTCCACCAGGTGATCACACATCTTCTCTGAGAAAGCTGGAAACCAGTAAACATCTGGACAGGGCTGAGACACACATATTGTTTAGTTACAGAACTTTTACATCATTCAACTAATATTGAAACAGAGCATCAGAGACAAGTCATTTGTGAAGGATTTATTTTTCATCCCTGGGTTTGATGTTGTTTTGTTACCTGCTCCACGAAGCTCTTCTCATCTTCAAAGATCTTTGAGTAGTTCTCGTGGATGTACTTCTCCTTCCAGTCCTGTAAACACACACACACACACACACACACACTCAGCCCTGGTTTTCTCTCAGTTTATCTCATGTTCGTATGGTCACGTGTGCTCGTCTGACCACAGGGTTGTCGAAGATCTGCCACATGTCCGGGTGCAGCCTGGATGTGTTGAAGTTGGTCGAAGCCACCAGACGACCAAACTCGTCGCGGTTTGACACGAACATGAAGATGCCCTGTGGACACAGTTGTTAATTGCCTTCATATACAGTCACTGATCGTCTTTATATACAGTCACTGATCGTCTTTATATACAGTCACTGATCGTCTTCATATACAGCCTCTATGTTACCTGGTCTCTGATGCTTTTGCAGAACACCATGTCAGGGTCCATCCCCTCCCCCACGTACAGATTCATCTGGGACAGTTTAGACCGCAGCACGCTGCCTTTGATCAGGTAGGCCTGAGAGATGTACGGCACGTTCCAAAGACCACTGGACACACGTGATGATAAAAGTGCTTAGAACAAAATAAAATCTGGTGTGTGTGTGTGTGTGTGTGTGTGTGTGTGTGTGTGTGTGTGTGTGTGTGTGTGTGTGTGACTCACATCCTCTTTCCCTGGACGATCTCGATGTAGTCTTCGGATCTTGAGTAGTATCCTTCAGGACTTAGAGCGCCCCAGAAGTTACTCCACAGCTTCCCGTGTTTTGACAACATGGGGGCGATGACAGATCTTAGAGAGCGGCATGACAACATCAAACAGGTAAATAAATAAAGCTTCATTCCGAAAATATTAACATCGCTTAAACAACAGTTTGTGGTTTAAACGAAACGTCACAGTTGAACGAGGACATCACTCAGTAGTTTATACCTTTAAATTCACGAAATCATGTTAATTCAGATCTGCATCACATGTTCTTTCCTGTCTCATATCACACCCTTTGTCTGGTTTTTGTGTAACCCTACATAATAAGGACTATAATACCCTTTAGGACTCGTTCACACCACAGCCAAGAAGAACATCATAATAGACGCTACATGAACAGGGTACGCACTTGTTTTCCTCGATCAGTATCCTCAGTGTGTCGGGATTCGTCAACGCCACGCCAGAGTCGATGCTGAAGTAATAATCACACGCTGGATCCTTCTTACACGCCTCGCTGCAGACACGTACACAAACACATGAATATGAACTCAAGTTTATTATTTGTATAAATTATATATTGAGTGGGTTCCACTCACATAGCCATGGTTCTGGCTTTGTCCTCCTGCAGATTCTCCTCGGGTCCGACCAACAGGGCGTTGGGGAACAGTGACCTGTGACGCTCCCAGAATCTCTGAATGTGACGCTCGTGGTAAACGACCTGAATTACAGGTGAACACACACGTCAGAACAGTCGTGACCAGAACACGTCACTGAGTTTTCTCCTGTGTGTCTGCGTCTGTATCGTACGTTGTTGTGGATGAAGAGGTGGATCTTCGCCGCAGGATAGTTCAGCGTGGTTAGTCGGTCAAGGAACTCCTCCATGAAGGGAGTGGCTTGTTCGATAAACACAGCAACATGAACCAGGGGCATCTCCTCATCCTGAAAATAACACTTTCTGGTGAGTCAGTGCGAAAGATAAATCAGGAGCTGTCACTTCAGGGGAGCTCACTTACAGGAACCTCGTTATAGAAAACCAGGTCGTCGTCACAGATGCCACATCCACTCTCATAGGTCCACGCCGTGGGGACGTAGTTACCAAGGTAATTCAACTGCAGCTGCAGAGATAAAGACACGTCTGACATCTGATTGGCTGATCACCTCAAACATATGATGTTAATGTTTCAGTTACTGACAGCCCATGGTTTTAAGGGGATAGTTCAGGCAAAATAGAAAATTCACTCATTATCTTCTACTATCCCTTTAAGTCGCCGGATAATTTGATAGTTTGATTTTATTTCACAATAAGACAAACATTATACAGGTATTAGTCTCCGTCATGGCAGCAACATTCACAGAATCAAAAGTGTGAGATAATCTCGTGGATGTAGTCACTAAGATGCAGTGTCAATCACAGTCTCCCTACACATTCTAAGCATCAATCGTTTGTTTACACCGGCTGAGCTCACGTCACATGGTTCTGATGGGTGACTGGTCGTTACCTTGGTGGGTCCGTTGCCATGGATAACAACAGGGAGTGTGTCGTAGGCAACGTTCCTCGCTCTGACCTTTGCCCTCTCAAACTTCAAGACGACTTCATCTGACGGACGGAGACGAAGGGTTAATGCCTGTTGACTGTGTTATGTATAGGTACAAGTGTGTGTGTGTGTGTGTGTGTGTGTGTGTGTGTGTGTGTGTGTGTGTGTGTGTGTGTGTGTGTCTTACCGACGGCTCCATTCAGATTCTGGAAGATTCTGGATCGATGATCCAGCGTCATGTTGAACTTGGTCTGACGAGATCACATCATCGACGTGATGTTAGAACATTAATTTGAATGATTTGATTCAATTATGGCATCACAGGAAGTTACGTGTAAAACATGAGACGACAACTGAGCTCTCAAGCGTTCACGTTGCTTTAACGTTTCTGAGACTTGCTGCTGGCAAAATCGTCATAGCGACAACAAACCAATCATAGACTGCTGCTCTACAAAGTAGTGGAGCTTCAAGCTAACGTGCTATGCTAGTTGTCTACACCAAAGGGAAGTACAGCGTTAATAAACTGCCTCCTGACTTGTGTTTAACGTGTTACAGGTGAGACCACCGTCACATGAACAGAGAGCAGTTTAAGATCCATTTATGGTGCATGTGGTGTATGATTGTTGTCATGGTGATTGTGTGGCGCCAGTTCACCCGCTGCGTCTTGTCCAGGTAGATCTTGGTGTAGAAGAGCTGGTCGTCATCGCTGTCCTTGTTCTTCCAATGCTGAACGATTGCGCTGAGATCTGGAGCGTAGCCGATGAATCCTTAAGAGAGAGGAAGAGTTTCTCGTCATCACTTTTATTTTACTTTCAGTTTCAATCAGTGTGTCTATGTGTAAGTGTGTGCGAGTGCGTGGTTTAATTTCAGACCTCCTGAGTTGAGGTAGCGTTTCCCAGAATGCACCACAGGGTACTTTGGGGCCAGTCTCTGGTCGGGCCAACAGAATCCCTCGGCTGAGAAAACCACTCGATGACCAAGACGTTTGAATTTGGAGAGCAGCTCCTCCGGGCCCGACGCAAAGATGACGTCATAACTACAGAGACGAGGGGAGAGAGGACAAGTCCGTCATCACATGATAAAGTTTCAGTCACACGTGTCACATTCTTTTGTAACTCAAGCGTCGTCAGTTTACAAGACACTGACGCCGCACATGTGTTTTTATGTCAAAGGAAATAACTGATGTTTCTCAATGTTTTCTACATCTCAGCCACAGACTGAACAAAGCTGGATGAGGTGGTGAAGGTGGACGTCTCCACTTCCTGCAGAAGTGAAGGAAAGGGAATCTGCTACTAATCTTCATGTTACTAATCAATTTTATTCACAGGTTTTTCAATAATGGTTTTGTCAATGATAGTTTCTCACACCCTTAGTGATTCTAATTTCACACATTCGCTAAAGCAACAACAATCAATCATAGTTTCCTGTTCCGCAAAGTAGCAGACATTCATGCTAATGGTGCTATACTAGCTGTCTATTAAAATCCCAACCAGTTTCTTTTCTACCGATCGATTTATCAAAACAAGCTGCTGTAAAGCCTCTGATTGGTTGAGGCTGATGCAGTTGCAGACAACTATCTGTCAATAACGCCGCTGCACAGGTGCATCATGGTCCTTTTTACCTCCGTGAGAAGAATGGGTGAGGAAAAAAAACAAGAAACAAGAGAAGAGTGAAATACAGAGGGAGGTGTGGTGGGAGAGGAAGTGAAAAGAAACGAGGACAGAGTTAAATAACACACACACACACACACACACACACACACACACTTTACCTGTCCACAAACATGATGATCATGTCCTTCTTGTCAGAGTGTTTGAGCAGCTCCTTCTTCAACCATCTGACCTTCTGACCTCCACCCACCGTCCGAGCCACGTCACCTCCCTTCCATTCCTCCCCCAGACCCAGCACCTGCACGCGTAAAGATTTCATTTGTTAGATGTTGGTTTTCATTGTAGTCTATAGACCTGTGTGTGTGTGTGTGTGTGTGTTACCTTCACTGTGTAGTTGAACTCTCTGATCGTCCTCATGAAGCGGTTGAAGCCGTCTGTCTCCTCTGTTGCCGCGGTGATCACCAGCAGATTTTCTATAAAGACAATACAATGACATCATCAGTGATATCTATTTAATCAACATGAAATCAATCACATGTTTCTCAGTGAGGAGTTTTTTCTGTAGAGTCAAGAAGATGGTTGATAATTAATCAATACTATTGATCGGAAGTCAACACAGCAGAGGTATATTTAAAAAGGCGACTCATTAAAATTACTGACGGGACAAGAGGCTGAAGCTGTCGGAGCAGACAACAAGTCCTGACCTGAGTCAGCGAATCCCCAGTCAGCAGGTCAAACTGGGGCAATCGTCAGTGAGAACGCTGCTCAGCCTCAACCTCCTCGCTGCCTCCAGGCTTTCGAGGAATTTAAGGCAGAGTGAAACTCGCCAGAAAAACATTGGGAAAGGTTAAAGAGGTGAGGAGCAGGAGGGGGAGGATGGGGGAGGACAGACGCCTTCTTGTCCTCTGTCACCGTTGCTGAAACCACAGGGTCTGTGACTGATGACAAACTCAAACTCTCATCTCTTCCAGGTCCCTGAAGACCGGAGAGGATTATTCCCAGCTGCTGCAAACGTCTCAAGGGTGCGTTCATGTCACGTAGGAGTTAACGGGAACATGAGTTTAAGGATTTTTGAATTAAAAACAAGTCCGGACTTATAACTGTTTGTTCACTAATCTAATGCTCAAGCGTTAAACAACATTGACACAACTGTTTAAACACACACACACACACACACACACAGAGCTGTCTTAACCGGAAACTGTTCGTGCAGCTCTCTAATAAAACATAAAATCACGTAAAATCAAACCTGAAACAGAAATTGAACTCGTGTGGAGTACTGTAGTACTGTGGAGTACTGTAGTACTGTGGAGTAACTGTGGAGTACTGTAGTACTGTGGAGTACTGTAGTACTGTGGAGCAACTGTGGAGTACTGTAGTACTGTGGAGTACTGTAGTACTGTGGAGTACTGCGTCTGAAGGGGCTGATGCTGCTAGTAATACCATAATGATGTTACCATGGCAACCAAATGAAGCTCAATTTCTCCATTCAAACAAAGACTACTACCCCCCCCCCAACTGACAACACGCAAACTTCAGACACAAACCGTCTTTAAACCAATTAGGGTCAAGTATCGGGAGCCGGAGCCCATGTAAGAGATAAAGACCGGACGTAATTATGTCAGACAAAATTCTTTGGTCCCTAAATTACAATGTGAAAACAAAACTAACCAGATGAAGCCTGGTTCAGAGGAGAATCCTCAGTCGTTTTATTCTTAAGCGTGAGAATCTGCTGCTCTCTGCACTTTACATAAATGTAATCTGTCTTCTAAATGTGAGGTAACTGAAGGTCAGTGTCTGTCTCACTTTGTGTGACTGACAATAGAAGCTGTATTTAATATCAGAACAGAAATCTGATCATCGGGTCAGTGTCTGAACAGGAGCTCGAACGATTTATCAGCTGACACGAGTCACATCAGTGTCATCGACTTTAATTTATTTCTGCTCTGAACCATTAAACCTTCACTGTCCAGGAATCAATGATGAGAAATGAACATTACGTAGAAACAACTTTACATGTCAGAGTTATTCAGGTGATTTGGAATGTTCCCTCACAGACCTTAAACTAATCATTTCACAGCAGCAAAAGATTCTGAATGACAAAATGCTATAAAATAATTATTCTAACAGTGGGCTGTGATTTAGAGAAACACTGGATGTGAGAGTTATTCAAAGTTAGACATTTAAATTGACGTCATAAGTTCAGAGGTAGAAGATGTGGACTCTAATAATCAATGTGTGATATTTGAATTAATAGCTAAAGACATTTATTTGTGCCATCGACTTCCTGTTGGTCGAATAATCGACTGGTCGGTTCAGCGGTGGATCAAAGAGCCTCCGGGCGACGAGGAAAGTTTTGAAGTTTGAGCTTCATTTATTTTCTACGCGTGAACATTCAGTAATAAACTCACGGTTTCATCGAGGTTCGGGATCAAACCGCTAAAAGAGACGTGACTGTGAATAAAGCGTAGTTAGCAACAGTTAGCTCGCAGAACCAGAGTCGGGCAGCTCCAGCGGGACATGGGGGTCCGCCTGGCCGGGCAGAGGACCCTCCGGAGCGGCCTTACCTGCAGAGAGGCTCCGCTGTTCGGCGGACACGGAGCTCTGGAGGAAGAAGAGCGGCAGCAGACAGAGGAGGCGGCGGGGAAACATGGCGGCGGATTGAAACGTTAACGTTCAGACAGAAACACTCAGAGCTCCACTTTCTTCTTCTCCTTCTCCTCCTTCGTCCTCACTCCATCAGCTGCGAGACTCTCACGAGCTGCAAATGTCGCGATGACGTGAATCTTGCCGGGATGTCAACACGAGGGAAAAAAACTTGGTCCCGCCCCATTTCTGAGCATCGGCCAATGAGGAGAGACGTACGCGTGATCGACGGGGACACCGAGCAATCGGCGCGTAGAAGCGGCCTCGGGCCAGCCAATCAGCGGAGGACAAATGGAAACGGGAGGACGGAGATTTTTTTTTCGTGGCAGAAAGTTCGTGAAAAACTGAGAAAGTGAAACTTTGCCACGTGTGAGGGAGGGAGGGGGGGAGACAGAGGGAGAGAGGGAGAGAGAAGCGACTCGACTTCATGAAGTCATTAACCTTTTATCACTTAACGCTTTAGAAATATTCTTCACGTGACATTAAAGCTGAAATGAAAAAAAAGTAAAAACTTAGAGGGAGAGACGTTTGAGAGATCGTTGCACATTTCACCCCATTAATATTATTGTCCAACGATAGTTCATAATAATAAACGTTGTTTATATTGAATAACCCTCGTGTAATATACAGCAAAATCATTTGTGATGAAACGAATTAAATAAATAAATATACATAGCAGGTTAAGCTAGGGCTGGACAGAACCGCCATCATGTAAAACGTTTAACATTTTTGCAGCAAGAGATAAACTGAAAAAGATCCGTCAGG